GAGAGAGAGAGAGAGAGAGAGAGAGAGAGAGAGAGAGAGAGACGATATAGATCTTATCGACTGCTGAAAGCATGGAAAGGGAGATTGGTCTGACCGATGGCCGGAAGTATAGACCGAGTGAAGAAGGTCTGCATGCAGCAGTTCGTGAGGCACCTCAACGTCAGCAGAGGCAGCCTCCGCTCCATCCAGTGGTTTGTAGGGTCCAAAGAACGGCCGGCCAGATTTGCCTCCCTGCAATGGCAAATTGTCCATTGCTGCCTACCTACAAATGACTGGCTGATCGACCGCACCCAGCTGGAACAGAAGGGCCTTGCCCTGCCCTGTTGCGAATACTGCCAGGATTCAGGAAGGCTTCCTCAAAAGAAAGATTTGGGATACCACCAAGCACATATTCCTCCAAAGCCTAGGACAAGTCTTAACATGGCTATGGTGTGGTAGCCTGGTAGGGTGTGGAGGCAGTGGGACACGGGGCAGGAGTGGCCATGGGACTGGCGGGCTCTTCTCCTGGGATCCTGGCACCCGCCCCATCCCTCTTCTTTTGGTCAGAACCTCTTTTCTACCGCCCGTAGGAAAGTGATCCTCAGAGTCTGGACTCTGGGGACTGTGGTGGGAAAAGATGCGTGCATGTAGTGGAAGGACATTGTCAAAAGGTGCACAGGCCGGAGTTGCCAGAAGTGATATAATATTATGCCAGTTTATTCACGCAGAGCTGCTGGCCCAATGGGGAAAAAGGACAGGCAAAAATGCAATTTTTCACTCAGAAGAAAGACATGACAAACGACCTCAACAAACTCTGCTCCAACTGGCTGGTGGGGGGAAACGGGGGCTGGATGGCACAATGTCATTGCGGAATGGACCCGAATCACTGTGTGACAGACGCCCCCGAAAAAGACTTCAAGCTCGAGTTCCAGGACTGGTTGCAGATTGATCCTGTGATCCCACTAAAGCTCTTGGGGGATTTTCCGGACCCTTTCCCATGGCCTCCAATTGAGCAAGCCATAGTAGATCTGGATTGGGGACAAGGGGTAGAGACCGTAGAGCTGCTAAGTAGTCAGGCCTTACATGGCGGCCAAAGGCAGGCTGAAGAGGCAGTCTCCCACTTGTCTCCCCATCTGACAGTGTATGTTCTTGGTCGTTTCAATTCAGTCACTTGGATGTAAAGTTCAGTCTGTTCAGAAACTTGTGACAACAGTCTGTGGACAGGGATGCTGGACCCAGTTCTCGTTGAATCTATTCCAAAATTTCCAACAGCTGATGAGGAAGATAACCTTTCAAGTTCAGGAAGGGGGAAGAATCCCCAATGTCCCCATAACTATTTTCTGTATCATGCATTCTGCAGCATGGGATGCGGGGCCCAGTTCACGCCTTGGACGCTGGGCCCGGTTCCCAGCACGGGAGGTGTCCCACGAAGAGACCTGAGCCATCGAAAAATGTGAACCCTTCACGAGACAGGGCAAGAAGCCCTGTGTGGGAGAAGACACATGTCACTGTGATATTCCCAAAAAAAGGGAAAATACTCAGAGTCTCTAAAATGGACCTCAACCCCACTAGTAGCCCAAGGCGGATGTGAAAAAAAAAAAAAAAAAAAAACGGACCTCGCCCCTGACTGCACATTGCACACTGCACATTGGATCTCCTGATTTTTTTTTTCTTTTTTTTTTTAATAAAACCCGCCCCTGGTTGCTAGTGATGATGATAAGAGCATCCACCACTAGCAGCCCAGCCACCGGCTCCATTCTATCGGTGGGGAGCTGCACTTGCTGGAAACCGGGTCCAGCGTCCCTCGTACATATGTTGCTGGAAACCGGGTCCAGTGTCCCTCATACAAATGTTATTGAACCATGGTTCAAGGTGAGGCGTGACGGAAGGAGAGCTGCCTTTTCAGCCAAAATCTGGCTGTAAGATGACTATGCTAGTGCTAGCAGTGCAGCCTCCGATCCATCCCCGGATACCCGTTCATCCCATCATGCCTATTCTGACATTAAGTGTTTGCTGACAATTTGACCCCCCAGACTAACAGATTTTAACAGACAAACTGAAGATAAAAAAATAACTTGTTACCCCTGCCCCCCCCCATACCAATGAAGATGTACCAAAGCAAGCTCAGAAGGAGGAAAGGGATCCCGAATGGATTCTGGAGATCTCAAGGTGGCTCCTGGGTGGACATCAAACAAGTTCTGGAAGGTGATCTGATAATCCCTCTTGAAGTTCATCTCTTCTTCTTCCCCACCTGGCCACTCCACATACCCCATTTTCCTTCTTGAAGAATCACCCACCCAGTCCTTTGTGAAATTTTGTATTTGTTTCTTAATATCCTGTTTTTGTTGTAGCGTTTGAAGCCTAGATTTAGTCTTATCCCATTGAGACCTTATTTCTGTTTCTTTGAACTGTTGTACCAGCTCGGACATTTCTCTGCCCTCAATCCTTGCCTTTTTCGTCGTAAACACACACCCTCTATACCATAAAACCCATAAAATGGCTTTTCTACCAATGTTAAATAGATTTTGTTGAAAAGTTGATAAGGAGATGAGGGCAGGGCACCAGTGACCCAGGTGGATCGCCCTCCAGTCCCAAGGCCAATCTACACCTGTCAATTTACTCCATACATAATCCCAGCGCCTCCACAGCAATTTTGGACCCGAACATTGCAAAAATATGTGTTCAATTGTTTCCCTTATCTTCCTACTAGGGAAGGCCTCCACACAAGCACAACACCACGGTAGGGCTACACCCTTTTGTTCCAACGTGGAATGGTCAATAAGCCAGTCATTAGTTGTGTTAATAGTTGGTAAGCAACGATGGACAATCTGCCACTGTAGTGACACAAACTTAGCAGGCCAGGCCCTCTCCTTGAATCCTTGGCACCACTTAATCGGTCTGAGCAGATCCGTGTAAATATTTAAATGTCGAGCCCATCGTTCCTGTATAACAGCAAGAACATCAACCCGTGGGTGTAACAGGCGATAAGAAGCTTTAATTGATAAATACTATAGTTTCTGAGCTTTGCATCTCCAGTTGGTACGCTAGATCCACTCTGCTAGGTCCAGAGGGAGATCCGGTATACGGATATTCGGAGCATACACTGTCCATCCTTTGGAGACTGGACAATACAATGTCCTCACTCTATAGAGTGAGTCAAAATGGAAAAACACCACCTTATCGTGGTTGCTTTGTGAAAGGGGAAAGTCCTTGTGGAGTGGAAAGAGATTTAT